TGGAGGAACGGGGCGGGGGCTGGGGCGGGAGCAGGCGGGGGGGAGGACGGGAACGCGCAGGGGGCGGGAGGCAGGCTGGAGAGGCTGGCGCACGCGAGCGAGCAGCTGGGAGGCGGGGGGCGGCTGCGCGGCGGGACGGCGAGCCCGCGGGCCCGTCCACGCCTGCTCGCGCTCACCTGTGCCGATCTGCGCCTTGAACCGGTCCTGCAGCCGGGCCACGAGGGCGGACAGGATGTCCATGCCCAGAAGAACCACCTGCAACGGAAAACACCGGGAGCCCGTTAGCGTCGGCCTCGCGCGCCGAGGACGCCCCGCGCGCCCGGCCAGCACGGGGGCCGCGCGCCCAGAGCCATGCCGACTGGAGAGATCGCGCTGATTAGCGTGGGGAAGGACCGTCTTGCGCAGAAAGAGCTGTTTGCGGTCGTCCCGGAAACACTCCGCGCCGAGACACGAGACACCAAGCAGCCGGGCAAGGCCCGCCCCCGGGGCCGGCCGCTGAGTTCCCGGGCGCGCTGCGGCCCCGCCCCGGCGAAGGCGTATGCAAATGTGCGGCGCGCGGCGTTCTGGGTAAGACCTAGCAGCGGCCGTTTCGCGACCCTGTAGGGCCTTAGAAAACAAGGAGTTGGCGGTTTGCCTCGAGACCCGGTGGCTGGGAGCAAGCTCGCTACCAGGCGGGCTAGGGCGGGACTCGCGAAATCAGTCACCACAACCCCACCCGATATTGGCGCCTCCTGCCTCCGGCGCGGAGACGGCCGGCGGTGACCATCCTTTTCTTGGGGTTGCGCTACTGTCCAATGAGCGTCTAGTGAGGGCAGTACTGCTAACGCCTACACAACACACCCGCATCAGCTAGAGCTTTGCTTTATCTCGGTGCAATTTTTGGAAAAAAGAAAAACCTCTTTTCCACGATCACGTACGCTAAAGTAAGGAAGCAGGGGTGAGAGAGCTCTCGCTATCGCACTCGGCCGGCAGCGGGCGCACGACTCCGTTATCCCTACGCCGGCATCGGCGCCGCCCGCCGCGGTTCTTCTCTTTCCATGCGCCGCGGTTCCCGCAGCGTATCAAGCCCTGGCGCGGCTCCCCGTAACGCCACGCCTGCCGGCCCCAGGCCGCTTGAGGGCGCCCGCGGACGCGGGCTTCGCCGTCTGCCCTTGCGCCACCTCGGAGACTTCAGGCCCGAGTCCTCGGGGGGTCCGGCAGCGTCGCTGGCTCGTGCATCGCGCAACAACAGGCGACCGAGACCGACCCCAGCGGAGAGTCCCGCGCGCTCCCGCCCTGGCGTGTCGCAGTCGCCAGCGGGAAGCCAAGGCCTGCCGCCTCCGCGATTCGGCTTCAAAACGGGGGGGACCCTCGCTGGCCCA